ACCAAGCCGCAGTGAACGGGAAGGGAACCGCTCCTGATGCTCTTTGTCACCCGCAGCAACGCAGATGCAGGAGGAGGGGGGGAACTGATGCACAGCCAAGGGCAGAGCCAGCGCCCGGCCCCGCGGCCCCGGTGCCTGGAGCAGGGCTCATCCCGGCTGCTGCTCCCCAGGGATGAGCCCATCCCGAGCCCGGCTCCCTCCACACCAGGGCTGGAGGCTGGGAATTGGGCGGGTTGCGGGGAGGCTCCTGGCAGCGGGAGCCTCAAGATGGATTTTGCTCCTTTGATGGCCACATGGAAACAGATGGGGAAGGGAAGGGAAGGGAAGGGGGGGGAGAAACCCCGATGCAACTTTCACATGGAGGAGTTAACTGGAACGGGATGGGCGGCGGTGCAGGGTGGTGGTTGGCATCTGCAGTGGCACGTGGGGTGTCCCTTCATCCCTCCCTGCGCCCACCCCTGCATCCCTCAGTCCCTCCATCATCCCTGTCACTCTGTCTTTGTCCTTCATCTCTTCATTCCTCCCTCCCGTCCTTTTTTCCCTTCCTCCTCCCCTTCATCCCTCCCTGCCTCCATCTCTCCCTCTCTCCATCCCTCTTTCCCTCCCTTCCTCCATCTCCCCATCTCTCCATCCCTTCATCCCTCCTTTCATCCTTCCCTCCACCGCTCCATCCTTCCATCCTTGCCTCCCTCCTTTCCTCCCTCCCTGCTTCTATCCCTCTATCTCTCCATCCTTCCTTCCCTCTTTCCCTCCTTCCCTCCATCTCTTCATCCCTCCCTCCATCCCTTCCTAAATCCCTCCCTCCATCCCTCTGTCCCTGCCTCCCTTCATCCCTCCCTCCCTACCTCCCTCCCTGTCTCCCTCTCTCCATCCCTGCCTCCCTCCCTCCCTCCATCCCTTTTTTTATCCCTCCCTCCCTCCATCCCTTCATCCCTCTCTCCCTCCATCCCTTTCTTTATCCCTCCCTCCATCCCTCCATCCCTCCATCCCTTCATCCCTCCCTCCCTGTCTCCCTCCCTCCATCCCTTCATCCCTCCCTCCCTCCCTTTCTTTATCCCTCCCTCCATCCCTCCCTCCCTCCCTCCCTCCCACCACCCCATCCCACGCCTCCCCTCCAAAGCAAGCCACAAATCACTCCCTCAAAGCCCCCCCCGGTAACACCAGCGCCAGCCCCCTTCAGCCCCCCCACTCCCGGAGGGGGGTGCACGGAGGGGGGGGGGGGGGAACATCTTTTCCTCCTTAAGGAGCTCAGCGAGTTCCAGGCCCATGAGGTCACTTGGACACGGAAATGACTCCCGAGCCCATCCATCACCGCTGCGGGCGCATGGATCAAAGGCCCCCGCAGCGCTCCAGCTCCCTTTGCCAGCCGAGGCCCTGCGCGGTACCCCCCCCTCTCCCCCCCTCCATCCCCATCCCCGAGCCCGCATTCCCTGCGGTTGCCGTGGCAACCACACGCTGCAGCGGATGCTCCGCATTCCTCTTCACACCACACATGTTTCCACTCCGCGGCTGCGGTAACTGGAAAAACCTGGGGAGGCGAAGCCGCTTCCCCAGCCTCCAGCCGCTCTCCCCGGCTCCTTTCATCCGCGTTCTCCTCCTTGGCTGCTGCCAGGAGGGAGCAAACAGCCCCGTTGGGTCCCGTCGAGCAAAGCAGGGGAGGTTGCAACAGAGAAAGGCGAGATTAAACCCCCCCCTCCCCTCTGCATTTGGTGCCCAGGGTTGCTCCGGTTCTTGCCCATCGCGGTGATGGGGTGGACACATGGAGGTTGTTATCCCAGCTCTGTTGTACCAGGGTTCAACCCCTCCCCAAACCCCAAGGATGGAGCCTCCTGTCCCCTTCCCAAACCTGTGCTGGAGCAGCATCAACTCCATTCCAAGCTCTTCCCCCATGGGCACCAACCCAAAGACCCCATCTAACCCCTAAGGCCTGAAGAGCATCTTCAGGCTCAGAGACAGAGTCAGGCTCAGGATGACCAAGATGTGCTTTCAGCCACCAAAGGATGTGCTTTTAAGGGATTGCCTTGGCCTCTTTCCTTTAGGAACCTCGTCTCCCACCTCAACCCCATGGACCCCATCTGAGGAGCCCCTGGGATGCTCCAGTGAGCCCCAGCCTTGCTCTTCCAGTTCTCCTTGCTGTATCCCCATGTTTGGTGGTGTCCTCGCCTTCTTTCCACCATTCCCTTCTTCCCATTGGCCCCAATGGCAAAGCATCTTCAGGCTCAGCTCAGACCCGAGCGATGGGGACATATCCCAAATCCCTGCTCAGGGAAGATGGATGCGAAGGTGGAGGAAGATGGGGATGGAGGCGGGCAGAAGGGCTGGGACGCGGTGGGAATCCAGACCTTCCATCTGGTTGCTCCTCAGGGAATCAAGGTTGGTTTTTGCTTGCAATGTGCATGTTTAAGGTCTGAATCTTTCACTCTGTCAAGACGAGGGCCATAAACCCCCAAGCAGCTGCAGAAGCCACGTTATTGAAGCCACTTGGGGAACTTGTGACCTTTCCATGAAATCTCCATATTTTATATCCTTCCCCTCAAAAAAAAAAAAAAAAAGCCCCAAATCCACCAAAAGAAATGGAAACATTTAAAGGAAAAAATATTTTTTGCCATAAACCAGCCAAATTGGGGTGAAAAAAAAAAAAAAGCCTTTTGGGGTGTTCAGCTGATCCTTCCTGCACATCAAAGCTCATTGTGTTTCTCCCTTTGCTCAAGGGTATCAGCACCAAGCCCCAGCTTCATTTCCTTGGCTCAAAGCCGTTCTCCAGTGCAATTCTATTGAGCTATTTCTAGAGTAAAAAAAAAGGGGGGGGAATAAAGGAAAATGAGACAAAAAAAGGGGTGAAAAATAAAGGAAAACAAGACAAAAAGATGAATAAGAAAAGCAAGCCCAAGCGCGAGCCCTGGGCCTCAGCTGGTGTTAACTGGCAGCTCCCCAGCCCTTGGCAGCGCTGAGCGGGATCAGAGGGCCCTGGATCCAGCCAAAATCCTGCTCTCCCTTGGGGGATTTTTCCCTCTGCCTTTGTTTCCTCCCTCTTTCCCATCCCTGGGATCCATTGTCTGCCCACAGCAGCATCTGATGCTCGGCACTGTCCTGACAGCGCTCGCGTGGGAGGGATGGGTTGAGCCGATGCTCCCAAGTCACCGCGCTCCATCCCAGTGGCTCCCGGTATAGACCCGTTCCTGGGCATCCTCTCTCAAACCAGGGAATGGTTTGGGTTGGAAGGGGCCTTAAAGCTCATCCAGTTCCAACCCCGTGCCATGGGCAGGGGCACTTCCACTGGAGCTGCTTGCTCCAAGCCCTTGTGTCCAACCTGGCCTTGAGCACTGCAGCATCACTGGGAAAGGGGATGAAGGGGTTCATCTGAGGTTGCCCTTTCACTTGGTCCCCCCCCTCCCAGCATGAAGGATGCTCAAGAGAAGCCCATGGAGGGATGTGAAAACGTATTCCTTGAAACAGAGAGCAGCACCTTTGGGATACGTGCATCCCAATGGAGCAGCAACACCCGGATGGGTGCAATTAGGGAGGCAAAGGGCTGGGAAGGGTCTTGCTGTGAGCACTGATGGACAACGGGATGTGTAGCGAGGTTAATGTGCATGGCAGGTCTATGGAGCATGGTTTTAAGGAATACCTTGTAGATGAGCTTGAATTGGGGCTTTTCCTATTGGAAAAACAACAGTTGGCCAAGCCCCTTGCTCTTATTCAGTGCTAAAGGGGAGAGGACATCCTCCTCCTCCTCCTCCTCCTCCTTTCAGGCTATAGGAGAGGTTCTTGAGCAGAGGTGGCTGCAGTACAACAGCATCGGTTCTTCAGGGTGAAGATAGCACAAGAGGAGGATGCTAATTCACCACGGGCAGCAAGACAATAGGGAAAGGTCGTTGCCTTCCCAAGGACTCTCTCCTGTGGTCATGCTCAGCCTGAGCTGCTGCATCCACCTCATTCCCACCTGGGGGTGGGCACAGGCTCCTATCAGTGCAGGATATTCCATGTAGTCGTTATAAAAAGGAGCTAAATCACCTCTGTTTCTATAGGCAGGAGGCGTCAACGCAGCAACTGCTGGGTTTGGTGGGATTTGGATTATTTTGATGAATTCCTGCCATTGTTTGAAACTATCTTGTTCCCATAACGTCCCTTTGTGCCCTCATGAGACAGAGCAAAGGTGATGGAGCTCTGCTGGGGATGGAGCCCAATATCCCCTTGGAGCATCTTGCCAGGACTTCAATGTCCCCCCAAAGAGACTGAGGGTGAGAGTTTCTGATGGACCTGATGAGCAGACACAGCTTGGATTAGGTCAAGGAGAAGAAACACCTTGGAGAGGGAGATGGGAAGGTTCTAGGGGTTCCCAAAGGCGTAGGAGCATTTTGGGCATGGGAAGATGATGGGCACCAATGGGCTCCAGTTCTGTGTGCTGATGCTACTGGTGGAATTGTACTGTAGGCTGCTAGAAATGGAGGCAGAGGAAGAGGGATGGATGGATGGATGAATGGATGATGGATGGATGATGGATGGATGGATGGATGGATGATGGATGGATGGATGATGGATGGATGGATGGATGATGGATGGATGGATGGATGATGGGTGGATGGATGGATGAATGGATGCAAACTCAAGTCCATTTTGAATTATACCATTTCTCAAGAGCAGAATGGATTCCTGTCACTGTTGCTTCTTCCTTTGGATTCATGGGAAATCTGTATCCAAGGCTTCCCATCTCCACTTGGATTTCTCATAGAGAAAAGTCTTCTATTCCCAAGTGAACCATCTCTGGCTGGCTTTTGCAGGGTCAACTGGGTGTAGAAATGAAAAGCCTGCACCTCCAAGACATCTCCCTTGGTGTCCATGGCTGGTGCTCCCATGAGCAGAGGCGATGTCCCCTGCCATCCGGGCAGCAGGTGGGAGCATCTGTGCCGCAGGGCCTGGGGGTGTCAGTGGAGGAGGGAAGGAGGAAATCTGGAACCCATAAGCTCCACTGCTGTTTGCATTACCTTGCACGGCTGCATTGGTCTGTGCCTGGTCCGCCCACTGTCCTCCTCACCCTATCAGCAAGAGCCATTCCCCAAAGTTATCCGAACGCCTTCCTCTGCGTAGCCCAAAGGAAAAACCAACCGAGCTCCTTGGAGGGCTCCGCAAGGCTTGGATGCTCCAAGCTGCACCTCTCGACCTCTCCAGGCCACCACTCCCATGTCCTGCGTCCATCGCATCTCCTGAAGAGCCCGGTGCCGAGAGCATGAAGGAGGAGAACCCGTGCCCGGCCTCACCCGAGGGCAGCGTGGACGAGGAGGAGGAGGAGGGCGAGCGGGTACCCAAGAGATGCCCCCGCAAGCGGGGCCAGGGGGGCGAGGAGCGCGGGCTCCCATCGCCGCAGGGCAAGCGGAGCAAGCGCAGCCCCGCGCCGCAGCCCCTGGAGGACGCGCACACGCAGCGCGTCATCGCCAACGTGCGCGAGCGCCAGCGCACCCAGTCCCTCAACGACGCCTTCGCCGAGCTGCGCAAGATCATCCCCACGCTGCCCTCCGACAAGCTCAGCAAGATCCAGACCCTCAAGCTGGCCGCCCGCTACATTGACTTCTTGTACCAGGTCCTGCAGAGCGATGAGCTGGACCACAAGGTCGCCAGCTGCAATTACCTGGCCCACGAGAGGCTCAGCTACGCCTTCTCCGTCTGGAGGATGGAAGGGGCTTGGTCCATGTCTGCATCCCACTGAGACGGGGTAGGTCTGGCGCATCCCTGCATCCTCCGGGCATCTCCCTCCTCATCTCCATGTGCTTTAACAAACCCCAGATGCCACCATGAAAAGTGGTGATTCCCAACCTCTGTGGGGCTTGGAGGGGGCCAAGCAGTGCCTGAGCCCATTGAGCGGGGTCTGGGCTGGGGCAGGTTGGTGGAAGCTTTAAAACCAGGTCTGATTTATCCCTCTACGTTAACCCCTGTGGATCAGCAGGCACCCTCCTGAATGCCCTTGGGTCACAGCACAGGTGAGAGCAGCGGCACCCCAAAGCCATCCTTCACTCAGCAGCCATTCCCTGAAGCCATTGGGTGGCCCTGGTGGCTCCAGACTTCCAGGCTTCCTCCTGTCCCTGTCCTAAAGTGCTGCAGATAGGATGGGATCCATAATCCCTTTGGATCTGGAGGTATCCTACACTGCAGGGAATGGAGCATTGAGGGAGGGGTTTGACTGCGGTGCCCAGCAGCATCTGAGCATCCTCTGTAAGCGCTGGCAAAGCTGCTGAGAGGAGAGGGGAATGATTCCATTGGCAGGGCTTTAGGTCTGCTTGGGCTGGGAGAGAGAGGGACCGGGGGAGAAGGGCTGGATCGGTGCCGATGTTTCCTGCAGTGCAGGAGCTCTATAGGGCATTCCCAAGCTGTGGGCTTCAGGGACACATCATGGGAGCCCAGCCCAGCTCCCTGCTGGGCCCTAACCAGGATGAGGGCTTTGCTTGGGCACTGGTTTGTTAACCCCTGCCTTGCATCACCCAAGGGCTAAGGGGCCATCGGCTTCTCTTGGGAAGCCAAATGCAAGAGGATTCCTGCTGCTTCGTGCACCCATCGCTAAGGAATGGCCATGAGAGGCCCTTATTCTGCCAGGGCCGTTACTCCTCTTGCTGCAGTCCCAACCCTCGTGCCCAATGCAGGCAGAAGCATCCCATTGATACCACAGGAGAGTCCGGACCCTGTGCTGGGTGGATCCAAGACCCTACTTTAAGCAGGACAGGGACTGGTGCGATGCTGCAGCCCCATGGGAGCCCAGCAGCACCAGCAGCCGTGCCGAGCTCCCAGTGCTTTTAGGGTCCAAGTGGGAGAAGCCCCAATGCAAAGGGAATCTGCTCAGTGACGTGTTGAAAGGGGCTGGCAAAGGGAGGAAAGGGGCTGTTGCGACACCAAACACACCATAGAAACCCCTGCGACGCGGCCCAAGTGATGCACAAGCCATGGGGGGACCATCTGCCACGACCAGTGACCCCCATGAGCACCAGTAGCCCTCCTACCACTGGGTTTGGCCACTGAGCAGCCCTGGAGTTGAGGCCACCCGGGTAAAGATGCTGCGCAGGTCCCAGGGGGTTTGCCCTTCAGGATGTGCCACATTTAAGCTCAGTTCCCTGCAAGCCAATTCCAACCAACAGGGAAGCCATCACTTGTCTAAAGCCATGCATTTGGGGCAGATCTGGCTGTGTAAGAATGGAAGAGCAGCCTTGCTGGACACAGGATCCCCTTCCCCTTTGGGACAGCGAGGACCAAAGCGGGTGCTTGCTCATTCCCACTTTAAGCTGCCCAGGACAAGCAGGATGCTGAGCCCCAGGAGCAGAGCGAGCCTGCATCCCCCCGTTATCCTCACATCCTTGCAGCCCAGTGCGTTCATGGCTGTTTGGGGGGTCTGGGATGCTCCGTGCATGCTCCCCATCACCTCCAGACACGCATTCCTGCTCCCGGTTGCGTTTATGGGCTGGCATTCGGCTCTGCGCCATCACTGACTGTTAGACCTGTGTATCTGAGCCGGGTGCTCGGCAGGAATCGTGTTCCCATGACAAACAAGGGGGTTAAAGACCCTTCATGAGCTTATAGACCTCAATGCTCAATGAAACATCCTCCCTGCTCAAACCCCTGCTCACCATTCCTGGTTAGTATTCACCCCAAGCGGCTCCGGTGCTCACCGGAGCATCCTTTAGCTGGATATAGAGAACCACCCGCTTCGTGCCGCGTGGTTTGGGTACCAGTTACAAACCCCTCTTGGGAAGGGGGGTAAAGGGAGAAGGATTTGCTCAGCAAAGAGCAAAAGGAGGGAGCAGCCACAGGGGAAGCGATGCTGGAGCCGGAGAGGCTTTGAGTGAATGAACCCAATGGGGCTGTAACTCCTAATGCAAAGCAGCAAACGGTGTCCTGGGCTCCGCTGGAGCTCAGCCTATTAAATATCAAAGGGTGCGGGAATAGCGGGATGTGGATGTGCCCTTAAACAGGAGAAGGGGAAAGCAGGACTGAGCCCTCAGGCAAGGGAAAGCAGCGTTTGAAGTCCCCTGAGTGCATTCAAGTGGTTCCTTTTGCTGCTGAAGAGGAGGAGATGAGGCTGGAAGCTGGGGGGGGAGGGCTGGAAGGGGGGATATCCCTTGTCCTTCATTTGTCTCCCTGGGTTTATCACCCTGGTGATGCTGCCTTCACTTCACTGTATCCGGACAGACCTTGGGTGAATCTTCCCTTTGGGGCCGGTTGCTCTTGCTCGGAGCCTTGGTTTGCCTGTGTCTATAGGCACGTCTCATTGCACCGTGCTGGAGCAGGAGGGGATGGAAGATGCTGGGGCAGAGCCCCCTCCCTGCATCAGATCTGCCCTGGGAGCGGCGGCTCCTCCAGATCCCTCTGCAGGGAAGCACGGTCCCATGGGATGCGCTTCCTTCCCACCCCAGCATCACAAAGCGGGTCCATGCGCTCACTACTGGGTAAACCGGTCAAGGTGGTCCCAGACCCCTGTGCTGGGGCAAACCAGGCCCCAGGATCCCTTAGCTGGGTCCAATGGGGGGGGAGTTGTGCTCCAGCTTTCACTTCTGGTTTGAGTTCCAGGAAGAGATGATGTCCAGATCCCGGGAATTCTTGGTTTCCATTCAGGTGAAGGCCTCTGCTCCCATCCTCATGCTCTGGCAGGATGCTGCTGGGATTTGCTCTGGCACTGAGCAGGTTCAGAGTCCCCATGGTGCCTCCAAAGCCTGCTGTCTCCCTCCTCAAGCACAAGGAGGATGAGCACGTAGAGGGGATGCTTGGTGCCTTGAAGGCTCCAACTCTGTGCCCATAGGAGCAGCCCTAGGTGAGGGATGCAGGATACGGGTAAGGATGCAGGACCACATGGGGTTAGGGATGCTCATCCCGACCCCATCAGCTCACACTGTGCTGGTGCTCCTGTGGTAGGGACAAGGGGTGGCATCACCGTGCTGTGCTGAGATTCCCAGAGCAGGGAAGCAGCCCGGAGCAGGGAGAGCCATAGGGATCCATCCATCGTGCTCCGAGTGCCTTGGCACAGGGGCCTCCATGCATTTCACCAGCAGAAACCCCTTTTTCCCACCAAAAACTCCCACTTTTCTGTTAAAAGAAGGGAAACCTCAGCCTGCACGGGGGGACCGGGCTCATCTCCATCAAACTGAGACCCAACTCCAGAGCCAGCCCTCGAGAGCATCAACCCATCTGCTCCTTTATGAGCCCAGGGAATGGCTTTGAAACGAGCCCGTATTTCACTGCTGGGAATGCAGCTGGGAGCTGAGGGGGAACGAAGGGGATGCATTCAGATGGGGTTTGTGTGTAATTGCCATTGATGGGGGATGCACCTGAGCTGAGCTGAGGATGCTGATGCAGGACGGAGGGAATGGTGGCATTGAGGACGGTTGCAGCTCCCCAGCTTCATGGTCAGGTCCATCCATCCCCAAGCTCTGCACATTGAGCAGGGCTGGTTCCCTCTGGAGACACGGCTATTCCATGAGGATTATTGAGTTTCCTATGGGGTCAGGATGCTCGTGCACACAACATAGAGCATCCCTTTGCAGTGCCAGTTGGACATCAGCCTTTTTGCTTGCCTGATGCCCCATTGGATGCGCACGGGGTCCACCGCAGGCCTTTGGGACCACAATCCCAAAGGATCAGCGCTGGGACACATCAGGCTGTGGGGTTGCTTTGTGTCTCCTGCAGACAGGGTGGGCAGGGGCTGCATTACCTCAGTCAGGGCTCAGCACTGGAGGCTGTGATTTATTCCTCTCCTCTATGGAGCATCCAAGGTCTCGGCTGCTGCAGGAGGCAAAGCTTGGGAGGCACCAACAGGGCTCCTGTCCCTGGCTCCAGGCTGGCGTCCGGCAGCGGCTCCATAGGGAACAGCTCATCCCGGGATAACTCCCGCTCTCCCTATGGAGCAGCAGTGCTTTGAGGAGCTCAGGTGCTGGGACCTTTCCCACCCAAATCCCTGTGGCTCCGGGGCCGTCTGCGAATGCAAAGCACGAAGGCTCCGGAGCCAGGAGCCCAATGTGGCTTTTCCACGCATTCCCCGGCCGGCTCCGGATCGTGCCTGCTCTCGGGAAGCCCGGCGCTGACCCTGGTTTGCCTCCCTTTAGGTCTCAAACCTCGATGGAAACAGCAGCCCCAGCCAGCCAGCACCCCACCACCGGCCGCAGCATCCTGCAGCGAGCACAATGGGAGCCTCATCCCACCCCGCCAACCCCTTCCAAACCGCAGGGCTGGGAAGGAGGGACCCGATCCCGGAGCTAGGTCTGGAATGAGCTGTTTGGGTGCTGAGCATGGGACTCTTGAGGGTGCAAAGTACTCCTGGCTCGCAGGTAAGAACTGGGTTATCTCCTCCTGCTGCCCAAGAAGCCGATGCTCCCGGATCAACAGGCTCCATCCTCCCCATATCCCCCTGCAGCTGCCTCCTGCCAGGACCAGGCAGGACAGCTCCTCTCGGGATGATGATGATGATGATGATGATGGTGATGATGGTGATGATGGTGATGATGATGATGATGATGGTGATGATGGTGATGATGGTGATGGGAAGGGGTTGAACCCTCCCTCGCTGGCCTGGTCCTCACTGCTCCATAGAGCCCCTCACATGGATGTGAGATGCCGCATCCAAGGCTTTGGCTGAGGCTGGAGCTCGGCTCCATGGGTGATGTCCATGTTGATCCTGCTCCGAAGGTCTCCACCATAAGGACTCCAGGATTTGTGGAGCTGTCTGGCATGGAGTG